AGATAGATCATGAGCCCTCGGCTAGAGGTGACTAGGGAGGCTGGGACTTGCCTCAGGGATGTGGTTGCACCCCTACGTTATACATTACTTCGTTTCCTTCCAGACAGGGAGGGGAGCCTTTCATTTTTTTGTTTGAGATCACCTTTCATTCATTCCCTCATTCGGCATACATTTGTTGAGTAACTGCTATGTATCAAGATATGAACCAGGTGGCTCATGCCTGTAATTCTAGCACTTTGGGAGGCTGAGATGGGCAGATCACTTGAGGTCAGAGCCCGGCACGGTGGCGCATGCCTGTAATCCCAGCTACTGGAGGGGCTGAGGCAGGAGAAGTGCTTGAACCCAGGAGGCGGAGGTTGCAGTGAGCCGAGATCGCACCACTGCACTCCAGCCTGGAGACAGAGCAAGACTCTATCTCAAAACAAAACAAAACAAAACAAAACAAAAAACAAAAAAAGATATGCACTAGGTTCTCACTGAATGTCAGATTAAGAAGATACACTTTATCGTCTTCAGAAGGAATACACAGTTACAAAGTATGGTGTTAACCATTGTAATAAGTGCAATAAGCATTTGGTATTGCAAAGGGCTGAGAAACACACTCTGTCATACAATAGTGAATTAGGGAGGGAGGGCTTCTTTGAGGAAGTAAATGTGTTAAGTTTGAAAGATGAATAGGAGTTTACCAGGTTCAGAATGAGCAAAGGAAGGAAGTATTTTAGGCAGAGAATGTTACGTGACTGAAGGCACTGATGCCAAGAAAGCAGGAGCACTCAGGAAATAGTGAGCTCTTATTTGGGAATGTTTGAATATGGAATGATTGGTGATGATGCACAGAATGGTGTTAGAGGGTAGGAGAACGAGTTGAAAAGGTGAAAATGCAGGCAGAGCCAGAAGTCAAAGGAATCTGGAAGATATAGAATTAACCCCATGGACCCACACTGGACATCAGTAGTCATATCACTTTTGTTTGGCTAACACATGGATTTTGCTCATTTTAAAAATATTTGAATTAGAATAGCTTTACGTCCTCCATTTAAAGTAGATGCACCCCTTCCTACAGTATTCCACCAGAAGCCTTACATTCTTTACTACTCCCCCAGGCCCCTAAAGTCGCGTGAGTGTGCAATTTCATGAGCAATAGAAAGAATTCAGAGGATTTTAGGCAGATTTAACAGATTTGTATTTTAGAATGATTGCTCTAGCAATAGTGGCTATTACAGTTGGGAAGGGGAGGCAGGCAGGCCAAGTAGATGCTAGAGCAATAACCGAGGTGAGGTACGATAACACTCTGGGTTAAGGTAAAAGATATGGGTTGTAAGCTACAGATTAGGAAAGTCTTCAAAAAGTGGCTACCATAAGAAGAGTCTGCTGAGGACCAACATTTTTAGAAATAGGCAACTTTCCATCAAAGGGATAGAAGAACAAATTGGGGAGAATGGCTGTATACTGAATTCAAGATTGGGGCATGTTGAAGTTTAGCTAATAGGTTGACAAGCTGGATATCCATGAGTGGTAAGAAACAGAAGACAACTAGATAATTAGAAGGAACTTGGAATAACGTGTGAGGTGTTTGAAGACATGGGGATGGCTGTTTCTGCTGAAGATGCAATGAAGGAAGAGACAGCTGTAAGGCAGAATATGGGCAGTTATGGGAAAACGAATCTGTTATGAGACCAGATGAAATTAGCATTAAGAAGATAACTAGGAGACACTGGGTTGTGAAAACCAAAGAGAAAAAATGGGTCAATGGCTTGCCCAGGCCAGAAATGCAAGTAGCAGGAGTTGCTGCTTCTGACCCAGGCCTGCCTGTTTTCTGAGTAATCTTTGATTGCTACCCTCCTGGTATGTATCATCCATAATAGTCAAAGTGGGCCAGACCTTCACCCTTAAGCATCTCAGTCTCCCCAGAACAGGCCTTTCCAGAGTGAACTACAAGCAGGAAATCTCCCCTTCAGAGGGCTGTCTATTCTTTGGCAGGTAGGCCTGGCTTTAGTATTAAGGCCACAAAATTCTCTGGGATGCAAGCAATTACAAAGGGATCTAAAATGCCATCCCTGCTGCTCACTTTGGAAAGATTATCATGATTATCTTTATTAGCACAGAACTATGTAAAGTGAGATAGATTTTATTCTGGAGGTGAAAGTGTAAGAGCGGGTAGTCATGCTTTACCCCACCAAGCTCTAAATTCATCTACCCTCTGGTCATGTGTAAGTCCCCAGAGTTTAGCCATGTGTAAGTCTCCATTTTTGACTTCACTTAGGAGATAAAAATCTCTGTCGATGTTGTTGGGGGTGCGGAATGGAAGAAGTTGTTTCCCCCCCGCCCCCATATTGCCAACTGCCCTTAGAAAAGCAGGAAAAGAGCAAAGAGCTCTATGGATAAAAGCCCAGATTTTTATGCACACAGGGAAAGGCCACCGCAGCTTTAAAGAAACACTTTCTATGTTGAAGTGGGGTCGGAAATGTAATGGAAGTAGGCAGCAAACCCAACGGCATGGTCTTATGAGAAAAAGTATTTATTTGTCATAGGAAAGCAATCAGGGAAAAGGGAGAGAAAGGCCTTCACCAGAGATCTAAAGCTTAGTGATCAGTGTGTGTTACGGCATTGAACCCAATGGTATTATTCCAGTACTTCAGTCTCTCCCACAGACTGGATTGAGCCCTTACTTTTATCCACATTAGGGTATCAGCACTCTAAGTGCCTTTTTAATGGATATTTTTCCCCCAAAAGTAAGGTAATTGAAAGGAGAAAGCCATGATTTAGAAGTTGGGGAAGTGGTTAAGGTTTATATTACAAGTTTGGTTTTTGCAAGTGACTACAAACTCATGAAGGGGAGAGAAACGGGATCTCTCCCAGTATTCTCTCAAGTTTTACCTAAGCATTTCTATATATTCAAAGACGCCACTGTGAATCAAACAAGAACCTAACAAAACTCAGAAGACACGGGCAGAGAGGTAAAAGGGCTAGGTACGATGTAAAATGTAACGAGGCTAGCTGGTACATCCAACCCGGTGCTAAAAGTCTTTTAAGGACTTGAAGCTTGCTTGTGGAAAGATTAGCTATTAATTGTTTGCCAGAGGCAACCCTTCGGCCTTTAGAGAAAATTGCACTTTTCCAATTATAAGAAAATTACCCCATGGTTCTATCCTTGAATTATTTTATCAATTAGCTAAGGGAAAATACAATCTCAGACAACGCACTGTACTGCACTGCGGCTCTGTTGTGTGGCATAGTTCACGTAGCTTTCCAAAAATGCGGGCTATGACAACTATAAAATGTTGGGTCATTTTCTTCTCCAGATGTGATCTCAGAGGTGAATGTTTATCAGCTAAAGCGAGGAAAATGAGTATTTTAAAAGGATTGCAGCTTTTCTTAAGGTTTGGAACACATACCAATGAAGTTTGGTAAAGACAACAGAGGGAAAGCAGAAGGTTGTCTAGGACTTTGTGTCAACATGAAGGCTGCACGAAGACTTTTGAATGTCTCAAAAATTTTCTTCTGACTGCAAAGGTATACTGTTTCAAAATTTGGTTTACTGATTAAAAGCTTTATATGCTTACTTTTAGACACTCGTAAGAGGGCATCAAAAGTGCAACAGCACCTCCAAAGGACTGGAATTTATGGGACTTTATTTCCTACTATTCTGCCTCCAACTCAAGTACATAAATTTTGGCTTTTAGAGTGAGAGTCAGTATTTATGAAGATGGAATCTGAAAAATGTTGTAAATATTGTTGTACCAACCACTTATAGAGAATTGGAGTATTAAATGATGCTAAATGACGCCATAGCTTCCTCTACCAACCGTTATAAGGTGAGGTGGTACTAGATACAAGTTTTATGGAATAAACAAAACAATTACCAGTATGCTTAATAATGAACATTTAAAACCTATTTCCTACAGCCAAACAGGTCATAGTTTAGTGAGACCAGTGGCAGGAAAATAAATTTCAAAATTACTTTTGTTGATGATTTTCCATACTAACAAGCTTGAAATAGAACCTTGCATAGTATGAGTGATTTTAATCTGAATTGAGTTTTAAAGACCCTCCATATTGAAGTCACGGGCACTATTTTATAATCAAGAATAGCTAACTGGTGCTTCTCTTCATAAAAATCCCTCCTGGGTCACTGAGGCACTTGTCAGGGTTTTTCGCCATATAAATAAAAGACATGGTTGTGCATCTCTCATTCTGGTATCAGCATCTATACAAATAGCAAGATGCAATTTTTCAACATGTTAATGATGTACAACAGCAGGAAGTATTTTTATTACTTGAACATTTTTAGACATTTATAAACTTATTAAGAGAGAAGCTGCATGGATTATAATAGACCTATCTGGGTCCCAGGAAACAGAACTCCTCTTTGGGAAAATGTCTTTCTCATAAATTATCATTATTTGTAAAAATAAAAATTCCTAAGCTGTAAGTTTACCAAAGGTTTTTTTTTTTTTTTTCCCTTTGGAAGCCACTGGTCTCTAATAATTACGTATGTATGTTGCTTATCAATTACTTATTACCTATACACATATAGCATTTATTTAAACATGTATATACGTGTACATACATAAATTTCTGGAAAATCATTAAACTCCTTTTGCTTTTATTTAAAATAAACCACACCCATTGAAAACTGTATAAAAGCCTTCTGATAAAGTCTTATCCTAAAATGAAGCGTGTATGTATAACACAGTCAACATTAATTTTGAATACTGTGCAAACTATTTTCTAGCTTAAAAATTTACAGTGATCAACTAGTTACACACTGAATCATGGCAGGGAGCGTATAGGCTGATTGTCACTTTGAGTTCTGCCTTAATTACCCTGTTTCTAGTGCACTAACTTGCTAGCCACCTTCTTTTTTGTCCCCTTTATTTTTCTGAGAAGGGCAAAACATCCTTGAAGATCACTGTTATATTCATAGCAATCTGTTCTACGTTTATGGAAAACCTAAAAACCAGAGAAAGTCCACAAAATAACAGTCATTTCAAACCGGAGACAATGCATTTTTTTCTCATTTATTCAAATTCACTGCAGGAAGTAAACACTAAAAGATTAAAAAACAAAACAAAAAAATTCACACTGCAGTATGTACAGTTTCATGACATCATATGAAGAAATTAAATTTCTAATAAAAATGACAAATTATATTACTGAGCAGATCGCATCAAACTTGGTTGTGTAAACACCAGAATTCTTACTATGAATGGATTAATGTGCCTGTATTCCGGTACTGCTAATACCGGGATACTCTTGGAATAATGTTTGCAATGGGATTAAAAAATTCATGAAAGTAGTTGTGTGAATTCTTTATGTTTAAAAGTGGTTGACGATTAAAAAAACTGTTTAAGACCCTTGGATTCAAAGCACATTCTTTCACAAAGCTTAAACCACAGACGTCATGTCCAGAAATGGAATACTGTCATGTTGGGATGAACATCTGATCTGATTTGTTAAGACATTTTGCCAAATGCACAGATGCACAGGGTCCCCCATGCACTTTTCATGCAGCAGGTAATCACAACTTAAATAAAAGGTTTATTCTATACATTTGTCCAGACTTGCAACTGTATACATACATGCACAACTTTTAAACCTGTCTGATTATATTTACACTTATACATGGAATATACAGGAACCAAAGAGATTAAAAGGCTTTTCTGTTGCATTAGAACAATACAAAATATGTATTTTTCATTAAGGAAATCACTATTTACATCACCTTTAAAAACCGATTTTAACATCTTCATGTAACAAGTCAATATATATATATACATATTTTATATATATATATATAAAATATATACTCTCACCAGTTTACTCTTCTGTAAGATGCAGCAGAGAATAAACAGGTAATGAATGCTACCTTACTGATGTCAATGAGAGCTGTAGTACCCTTTCACAAATGACTTTATTAGAAGAAATTGTCTAGATATCTAAAAGAGTCCTTGAAAATGTGTGTATGTGCATCCTTGTATCTACATATGCATAAACAAAGTGAATCTGTGGATGTATACCCTTTCTCACTGTTCTTTAAAATCACCCTAAATTCAAATTGGGGACATTCTCTAGTAAATCAGAACAGCATTCTTTGTGGTCATGTTTAAGTATTACATATTCTCATTCCTTTGTTAACAACAACGAAAACAACCAACCAACCAAAAAGCAAAACAAAACCCATAAGAAAAAAAAAAAAAAAAAAAAGCAATGCTGGCCCTTGACAGTCTTTTCCCTGACCTAAATTTCACTCTCTTGTAAAAAGGCCATTTCCCCCTACCCAAGGGAGAATACCAACATATTTTTTCTGACATACCTCTAAGGCTCCAAATCTTTCACAACAATCAAGAAAAACGACTTGTTTAAAAGCTTATTTATATAGTGTTGACAATAAGATTGTCATAGTATGGACATGGAGTAGAATATATTCAACTGGCCAGTGGAATTTTATGTCAGAATAAGCCTATGCCTTCACTTCTCCATATGTTGCATAATACCCACTCCTATTACTGTATAATATTTCCAGTAGCTATTTACAAATCATTCTGAGGAAAAATAACCATTTAGGGTTTTAGATCATATTAGGAAATCACACCTATTTTTAAGATAAAAATCTTAGAAACCACTTCAAGAAGAACAACTTTAAATCAATATCCTTCTAACTAGTAGTGATCATAGAATAATTTTTGATAGGTCATTTGCTAACCAGGTTCACAATTAAAAACAAAATGTCTGGTGAATGCATTGTGGATTGTACAAACTGAACATAAAAACAGACCTGTTTCACAATTGAAACCCCATGTGGCTTCAAGAATATATGAAGTTCTTCTAAGACTGTATCAACATTTACTTTTCATCACTATTTTAAAATAAAAGATCCAATGGAGTGATTGTGTACAATTCTGTCATGTATATGTGCCCGTTGTACTTTTTATTTAGCCAATCTGAATTTAGTGCCTTTCTTGGGTTTAAACTAAATGTTGTAGCCTTTGTTGGCATTGTTCTTAGGACAATGGTTTTAATAAAGGTTAAGGATGTATTCGGGAGAAGTTTCCAAACCATCCTGGAATCACCTGAGTTTGGTAAGTGGCCCTGTTTTTCCATCCCTAAGGCTAACTAAGTAGATGTTACTCATTAGAACACATAAATAATCACAGATTTTCCTGAGATGTTGAGCCAGATATGAAAGTTATCCCCTCCACCCAATTTTTTTTTGTCATAAAAAGTGTTCTGAACCCGATTTCCAAAGACATAACGGTAATATATGAACTACAATATTGCAAATTTTGAGCTGATGTGTGACTGTATTGGGGAAAATAGAGGCATCAAATAGTTTTTTTGTTTTGTTTTGTTTTGTTTTACAGTCTCATGTTCTGAGGAAAGTCGTAAGCCATGGTTCTCAAACACAAGAAACACCTAGGGAACGTGTTAAGATGCAGATGGAAGATTCCAGGTCCACTTAGCAGAGATTCTTGTTCTGTAGATCTGAGATGCTGCCTATGAATCTGCATTTTAAAACAAGTGCTCCAGATGGAGATGGTTCTAACGCAAGAGGTCAGAGTTCAGCTTTAAGGAATCCTGGTCATAAGACTCGCAGGTACCACAGGAATGGTGAGAATTAGCTTTTATAAGAGATGGTGAAAACGGTCCAAAGAAAAGCCATTTTGCTTCTGTTAAAAACAATTTCTTAAATATTCAACTTTTCAGGAAACCACCTAAAGATAAATGTTAACTTTTCTAATTCTGTAAAAGGAGGAGTATTAATTTAGTAAAGTAGTTAAAATACAAAAAATGGAAATCTGCCTTTTTTTTAAAGGATCTATCAAACTTCCCTCAATTGTAATCAATTTTTACTAAGTAGTACAAGGTTTAAAGAAATCTATATTGAAAAGGATCAGCGTGGGACAGACACACTGGGAACCACAAAACCTCTTCCAAGAGTTAAAAATAAACACTTTTTTTTTCTTTTTTAGCAAAAGTGAAAAAATGTAAGCATATATTTTTCTAATTTATTTTTGAATTGGATAATAAGCTGTGAATCAGCACTAGGTTTTTTCTTAATTGGATAATTATCCTTTAAAGAGTTGTTTTAACAGTTTGGACTTTAAAAAATGTGTTATGTAGGCTGACTTCTGAAGAGCAAAATAAAAGTACCCTAATAAAGGCAGCAAAATGCATTAATCCACTATGAATGGAGTTTTACATTTTAATTTATGCCTATTATTTATGTTTATAAAAGAATTTCATTCATAGGCTACTCACGGTTGTTATCTGATGCATACAGAAGTGTTAAACAACCAATTGCTAGTTCAGTAGTTTCCTCATGACATCTAATGTTAAGCAAAAATTAGTATGCATATTTAAACATCACCAGTAACCAATACTTTTCAAAATGAAAAAAGTTTCAATTATACCATGCTTTTCTCAAATCATGCTCTTATTTATACAGATCTCAAGTTCATACTCATTATGTTTTAAAAAGATCCCAAACTGGATGGCAGGTACATTTTATTCTGATTCTTTTTTTATTGTTAGCACGTTTCCCAGAAGTCCATAAACTTCTCCGTTTGCACTGTGTGGGCGAGAAGCATTATTTCCCATATGGCTATTGTAAGGGCTTCTTAAGTTAAAGAAAGCAGCTCTCGTTTCTGCAGTAGGAAGTAACTCTTCTTTGATTGTGACCTGTGAGACACTTTCAGCAGATGAAGGCTCCCTCCAAATGTCCTTGTCTTGTGTTTCTCGACTGGTAACAGAATTGCCTCCTTTCTGCAGCATATAATATAGTATGGGGTTGGTTTTGGTCAGTCTCGGAGAGTCTTTTTCGTACTCATTCTTCTCCACATCAGTGATAACCCACTTAATGGGTCCTTTCTCACTGGGCATGGAACACCCATTCAAAAGCCCAGATTCTGGTCTAGACCCTGCACAGCCCAAGTGCTCAGGGAAAGTAGGACTCACAGGAGTTTTTACTACTCCTGGGTATGAAAATGTCCTGTTATCCATGCAACTGCTGGGCTGAGTGGGGCTGTACATCAGTCCATTTAAAGAAGAAATGCTAAATTCAGGTTTGCTGTTGGTCACATTATTTTTGTGTCCTTTCTTTTTACTGTCAGCAACAGAGTTACTTCTGTGCGGGGACAAATCTCGCACACAGTTTTCTGAGAGAAGCAGCTGTTTCAGAACATTGAAGCTTTTGCTCTCTCTGGCCCAACTCCTGTGTTCACTTTCGCTGGCTGAGCCATGACCAGCAGGATATTTAAACTCAAGATCATTTCTGCTAAATTTCAGCTCTTCCTGGTTAAGCAAGGACCCATACAGTACTTCTGGGGCACTGTGATTGTTTGCAGCATCGACAACGTTGTTTTTCATCTTTTTAAATGGATTTTCTAATGGCTCAGTATAAAGCTTCCTTTTCTTAGGGACCATGCACAGATTCTTTGATTCTAGAAGTGCCATTTCATTACTTCTGTGACTCTTGTCTGAATCATCTGCCAGGTAACTATCTGGATTTTGTCTTAGCAATCGACTTAAGAGACCATTCTTTGAGAAAGAAAAATCCTGAGGTGAAACAGGCTCCGATTTAAAGTCTTCGGACACTGGTAAGGCAGGTGCGCTTCTCTGCACAGCAGGGGCCATACCCAAGAATGGAGCACTCTTGGCATCATGGCTCAAGTGCACATTTGTATTAGGAATTTGTAAGTCATCACAAGGCTCAGATTTTATTTTCACCATCAATATTTGTTCATTTAAAGCTCTCTCTGAGTGTTCCTGAGTACTTTCATCTCTTAAGGGAGTTTTCTCTTTCTTTTCATTTTTGCCTTTGTTGGGGTTTCCCAGGAGCAACTGGAGGACGGTACGTCTTTCAAGCAGATTTTCTATTTCAGAACCGGAAAGCCCCGGTTCAGGACCTGTTGGTTGACTACTAAATGCTTGACTTTCTTCAGCTGCATTCGTTTTATTTGAGAGCAAAGGGCTATTTAATCTATCAATCACACCTATCGGTTTATCTGTGTTTACAGTTAACAGCTGTTTGCTGGGTCTCTGCTCTTCCACTGACATGGAAGACTGCAGGCCACATTGTGCTAAATTTTGTAACAGCTTACTGGCACTGAAAGTTGCAGAGTTTTGTGCACCTTCGTTTTGGGCTGGTTTCTCTCCTGGCGTGTCTTTGCTTTTTGTAAGGTCCATTGAGTGGTTAGATGCAGTCTTTTCAGACTGAGTACTGCAGGCATACGGTGGGGAATTCCATTTGATGACCAGAGAGTGTTGAGAGAGATTGATGGGAGACTCTGCTTTGGCTGACGTAAGTAATGGTGGAGTGCTCACTGGCGTAGTCCGATTTGTACTGGGGCTTTCTATCACAGAAGTCCTTGCATAATTTTGTGTACTGAACTTGGTCACATCATTGTGTACTCCCTGAGGGCTGGTGTTTTTTTCTACATTTTCTTCATTCTTATGGCCAAGTAGCAATTGAAGAAGTGTTACTTTCTGGTGTGAGTTTAGCTTAGAATTCTTTGAGGTATCTTGATCTTCTTTGATATCTACGTCTGGGACTTTTGGATCCCAAGTGTTTAGCAAGGATTGAGTAAAGTTATCCAGGGAAACAGGCTGGTCAGATTCGGATTTTTCAGTTCGGTGTTTGCAAGACAAGTCTATGGGAACACAGCTGGAGTAAGAACTTTCATCACCACTGCTGTCATCTGTAAAACTAGGATTGTTATCTGAATATTCATCAATAGTTGTAGGTGTACTACTTTCCTCAAAAATGCTTCCTCTCTCACTGTGACTGTGTCCATTCATTGGCTTAGGTATAGTCTGGCTTTTAAGAAGATGTAAAAGCAAACTATTGTTAGCAGCTTGTTTGATATTGTTTCTTTCCAGTGAGTTCTTATAACCTGCATTTTTAGGGGAAGAAGGAATGATACCCATTGGATTTTGAAATGTTGTAGCACTACTTTTGCTAGCCATCAGTTTGCTTGATGATGTTCTAGCCTGACCATTAAGATGGCTTGACATGGCTTTGGAGAGCTGGAAACTGCCAACATCCTTCTGGCCATTTTCTTGCAATCTGGCCATAGCAGCAAGTCTTTCACTTGCTGCTTGATTTGCATTTTGTGTTTTTAAAGCATGTTCTCGAGAATACTGCTGCAAATGGGCTTCGCTTGACAGAAGTAATGCTAACTGGCTACAAGCAACACTAGGTTTAGGTGAGGTGGCAGGACTAGCCCTTTTTTCTACCATGCTTGCAACAGCCTGTAATCTTGCAGCACATGACAACGGTTCACTCATGACCTTTGTTCCACTTTGTCCAACGTGATGAGGAGATTCTACAAACCTATCTCTGATGAGGTTTTTAGTCACATCAGGAAGATTTGTATCAGGCTTTTGATCTTTAACTTTACTTTTCTTCAACAAAGTTTTTAAGTGACTTGATGCAACACCATAGCACCTTAAATCCTTCTCCACTTTTAAAGAATCATGACTGAGGGCATATCCTTGTTCCTTGAGGCTCTGCCTAATTTGTTGTGACAGAGCAACAGTCTGCAGCCTAGAGCTGAATGACTGAAGCAAAGAGGCCAGTAATGTGCTATCCTGTTTGCCTTTAGGCACACTGTCAACCATGCCAGCTAGCAAAGCTTCCTTCTTTACGTTTAAATTTACGATAGAATCAGACAGCCTCTTCCGCTTTGCTGCATTCCAGTCCTCAGAAGACTGCAACAGTCTGGCTTTTTTGAGGTGCAGCATGCCAGATCCCTGATATGTATGTGTATTGAGAACTGGACCATTACTTTGACAGGTGGGAAATGCACTGCCAGAAATGTTAAAGTTCTGATCCTCTTCATTATTCCCAGCAGACTTTTTGTCGACGGCAGTACCTGATCCCCCTGCTGCCTGATGCATTAGTAATCCTTCTAGGTAAGTTAAAACAATAGAATCCTGGTGCACATCAGAGCCAAGCTCTTCTCCATGAGTCATGTTCAATAGAAGTGTTCACAAGGGCTTGGTTTCTATTCACTTTAAAGAATGGTTTTCTGTGGTGAGTGAGACGTAACTTTAATAAGTGAGTATCAGTTTATCACCTTCCATAGCAATCAGAGAGAGACGTACTGTTACATTCTGTCCAGGATTTCTTCTGGCAATGACAAGATAAATGAGTCTGACCACAGAGCTGATCAACTTCTATGCAAGAAGAAGGAGAATTCCTTAAAACACAGGTCTGTAGCAGTACGCAGATAGAATCCTTAGTGAATATATTCCTTTTCCTTCTTCATCGTTTGTTCCCCATTAAATGCAAATATCAGTGTTCTAAAAAAAATAAAAATAAGAATAGTTCAGGAGGCAGAACTAGAATCATGTTATACCTACAAGCAAAATAACATAGCATTTCTAAGTGTATATGTATATTACATATAAATAATAGACATATATATGGACTACAGTCACGTTAGTAATTTGTTTTATTGCCATTCCTATTCCATTGAAAATGTCTACTGGAAATCCTGTGGGTTAATCCATACTGTTAAAATGATCAAATCATTAGAGAAGAGAACATACTTTAATGTTATATAACCATCTTCCAAAGCCCGCCAAGTCTCTGAATTTTCATAAGCACCTTTCTGCAAAGTAATGTGAATATTAAGTCTCCTGTATAGCTTTATAGCTCTATAGGGGAACTAGAACCTGCTTCCTTACATTACTGAGCACTTAGGAAGAAACAAAAGTAGATGTGCAGAAAAAGGAAAAGAGATGCAGACTCTGATGAGTCTGATGTGGGGCTGAGGCCAACAGAACAGATTCATTTCTGACATCATCCCCCAAACACCAGACATTCCATAAGTAATTTTTAGAATTTCTGTTTTCAAAAAAATGAAACCACTAACAAGTTGAAGATTATTTTGTGAGTCTGTTCAAAGTGTGACCATCTTAGTCATATTCATAAACATTAAAATACAGTCATATGGAGGAAAGTGATTCTTTAGATGCTTGTTTGGGGCTATCAAGGGTTTAATGTAGTTTGTTAGTAAATCCTTCCTCATGTGCTCTATGGAGAAATCTTAATGTCAGGTCCATTCCTTAGAGATACAGAGGACAGGGAAGGCATAAACATATACAAGAAGTACAATGGAAAATGCCAAAGACATTTTAGTCACAGCTTGAAAAACATTCCAATGGTATTTATTATCTAAGAAGATACCAAACGATTTCCTATCACTAACACATACACAACAGAAGAAGCAAGAACTCATTGCATTTCTGCAAACTTGATAGATAAATGTCAATATTGACCTAAGGAATGGGGCCAGTACACCTTTGGAAGAGAAGCTAGAATAAATTCCAAGAATTTTGTTTTTCAAGATGCCAGAACATTTTGTTCAAGTTATTAGACCTGAAGCTATCCACAAATACCTTGGTCCCTATGGAACTGAAAAGATAAATTTTAATTGAAAGATTACCCTGTAGCTTTTTGAGTACAATGCTTAACTCTAAATCAAACTTTAGGAAAGAATTATCTGATTGTATCAAATTGTTGAATGTATTGATTAAAAGGATATGAAATGATAGCCAAAGAAAAAGATATAGAAAGGAGGCAGCAACAATTAATTTCAATTTGTGTAAGGAGTAGGATGAGAAGAGACCTTCTTGAGATTCCAGTGCCACCATTTTAAAAAGCTTTGCCATAATGTACTTAAGATGGATATTTTAAGAGGTTAATAATGATATAGAGATGAAATGGTGATGACGACTGCCACCAAATATCCATTCTCCCGTTTTCCTTTCCTAATAAAACCCTGACTTGCTTTTCAGGGAGTAGGGAGGTATCCCAGCTAAACAGCACTTTTTTTTTCCCCATTGGTATATATCTTACAATTGATGGCATGTTGCTTAACTGGAGGCTTATTTTTCTTTCTTAGTGGTATAAAACGTAAGGACACATTTTACAACGATAACATCTTGGAGTTGAGGAAACAGTTTTCTAATTCTCTTCAAAAACTTAACATGGCCGCGTACCGTGGCTCACACCTGTAATCCCAGCAATTCAGGAGGCCGAGGCGGGTGGATTGCCTGAGGTCAGGAGTTTGAGACCAGCCTGACCAATGTGGTGAAACCCCGTCTCTGGAAAAATACAAAAATTAGCTGGGTATGGTGGCATGCACCTGTAGTCCCAGCTACTCAGGAAGCTGGGGCAGGAAAATTGCTTGAACCTGGTAGGCAGATGTTGCAGTGAGCCGAGATTGCGCCACTGCACTCCAGCCTGGGTGACAGAATGATACTCCATCTCAAAACAAACAAACAAAAAACAAAAATAACAACTGCTAATAAACAATTAATTCTCAGCTAGTTAAGACATTTAACAACCATTTAATGGGATATGCAAATCTACTGTATTTCTCTCCATACCACTACCAACCTTTCTGTTCTTGGGTTGAGTCAAGAAAGTCAAAATCATATCAGCCATTTGAAAACTGGTTTGTAAACAGCCATAAAATATACTTTATTTAAGAATAAGAATGAAGTAAGGAGCACCTTTGAGTTCATATTACTCCTGTTATTGCTATTCTACTTTTTACTGTGTATAATATAATTTGCAAAGTATTATTCATTGCTTTAAAAAGACTGAATTTACACATTTCTGAATTTACAAAGCAGATTTGGAAGTTGATTTAAAAAAGAATTACCATAGTTTCTTTGCAAAGGAGCTCTAACACTGTATTTTACCATTTATTTACCTCTCTACCATTTATTTCCTATCTTCACAGAGAAAGTAGATGACAGATATTAGTAATAATCATCTCTTAATAATCCTTTTTTGGCAATCAGCTTTCTCAGGTTGAAAATAATCATTTCTTAAATATGAAAATTTTTAACTTCAAGAACAAAAATGACATACACAAATAATTTTATTAAGCTCCTTGGGTCTGAGTACTGTGCTAATCATAATTAGTACAGTGCAACACAGTCAACAGATAACTGAATCTTGGGATACATGAAGTTATTCAATGACCAAATTCCCAGTAGGAAGGAAAGATTTTGACATTCAAACACACACATTCTCTCACTCTCAAAAAATATATAGATGAGATACTAAAATAATTCAAGCCACAAATTTGAAACCACATACTGTAGCTCATCACTTAAAGGAATGACGAGGCAAAGGTCATCCTAAATATTCAATTGTTTATTTAATTTAGATCAATACAACACATTCTTACTGAACTCCCAATCTGCTTCGAGATCTGATCTGTCTTAGGATTGGTGAATTATGTTCATTTTTAAAAAGAGATGTGATACATAGCATCTAGAGAACCAGGCAAGGTGAACGTCCACCTTTAGGTTTCTAGAATATCCCTAATAATAAAAATCTCTTCTCCCCATGCTATTTCTTTTCACATTTTCACATGACTGTTGTATCACCAAGCACAAAAAAATTAAAAAATTGAATGTGATTTGAAAAATCTTCTAAAGATTGTTTTAAGAGTTTTAAATGAAAATTATAAAATGAACATTTTTAGTTTAGAACATGTGGTTACCATAGTATGGATAAAAGTCACTATGTGTATGCTCTAAGCCGTCACACCTTCTTCTAGAAAAGTGGACCAGTAACACATTTAGAATAGATTTAAAGGGAAGATGAATAATTGCTTCCTAAATATTCTACGTCAAGGTGGTTATTTTTCATCAATTTCTTTGAAAAAAAAAATCCTATAAAACGTACCAATTACATGAAGCAGTGGAGAAAAAGGATTTTCTCATGGAGACCTGTTTTTCAAATGAGATAAACCTGCAAATCAAAGACTGTGGTCACTTGGAGAGGCTGCCTCAGGTGACACAGCAGCAACATCTACCACTTGTTCTAGCAGAAAATAAAGTGCCTATCCTAGGAAAGCAGGAATTCTTATACCCCTTAAGGCCTGAATGCACTTCACTCCTTCTATTGAAAGCTCTTCAGGGACCAGAGTGAGCCAAATTTTTTTAGATATCTTCCTTTTCTATCTCTTAAATAACTAGAGAGGGAGAAATCACTAACAATCCTTCTCACCTTTCCCAAGTCTTGCCTTTTCCTTCTATAGTATAGAATGTAATTGAGAAATACAGGAAAAAAAGAAAATGAGGCACGATACTTGGAAATAGTACAGCTTGTTGGGATCTATGGATTTAGGGTATAAGGTAAAATATGACCACTACCTAATAAATGGACGTTTTAAGGTTAAAATGTTATTTTAAGTTATTCAATATTAGCTTAACTCATTTTCTTTTAGTGGAAGACAATCACATTATTCATGAAATTCCAACACATAGTTCTCTTGCCTGGTTTTATATAAACATAACTTAAGAGTGTTGCCAGGTATATACTTGAGTATATTTAGTTACAAATACCTAAATGTCAACACACATTTAATAATTAGGTTTCCTTAAAGCAGTGGCCCCCAACCTTTTTGGCACCAGGGACTGGTTCCGTGGAAGATAATTTTTCCATGAACTAGTGGGGTGGAGGTGGTTTCGAGATGAAACTGTTCCACCTGAGATCATCAGGCATTAGATTCTCATCAACGGTGGGCAACCCAGATCCCTCGCATGTGCAGTTCACAACAGGGTTCGCACCTCTATGAGAACCTAATGCTTCCACCGACGTGACAGGAGGCGGAGCTCAGGCGGTAATGCTTGCTGGCCCGCGGCTGGCCGCCTGCTGTGTGGCCCAGTTCCTAACAGGCTTGGCCTGAGGGTTGGGAACCCCTGCTTCAGAGAATTGCAATTAATGTATATTTCTGAAACTGGAATAGTTTATAAAATATTGAATCCACTGGTTTGTCATTTTCCTAATTTCAATGGTGATTTCATTAGCACTTGTGCATGTGTCTAAAGATATTAAACATTTTCATCACAGTAAGGGAGACTTGCTTTGTATGGTATATACTTGTTAAATAACTTCTAAGTAAAGAAAACAGAACTTTTCTAGAATTTGGCTTATGGTGGATGAGAAGAACCAAAGGAATTAAAAATACTAAAGGGACAGAAAAAGAAAAAAATGGGAAAAAATACTAAGAACAAATAAAGGCATCATAAATTCTGCAACTCTCATGAGGTTTCAGAAGGAAAAACTTAGTTTAGAAACTAAGTAGATTATATTACTAGCCTGTCTTTAAACATTAGGTTAGTAGATATGACAGGCAAGGTGAAGAAAGATTTTTTTTATGAACACTAAAAATGCATATATACAATGACAAAAAAGGAAAACCTATATAATAATAAAATAAAAGCTAACTGAGTGATGTTTGTTTCAACTTGGCTGTCATTTTTATAGAGTG